TGTCAACGACGTCATACGTAATCGGTAAAAATTACGGGACCACTGAACCACTGAGTTTTAACAAATATTTAACAGGAAGTAGAATGACAATCAGTGGCGCCGTGGGACCCATGTTTTTTTTTGGGGGGGGGCAAGGGCAGTACTTTTCCGACAAACCGAAAAATTTTTCCGACAAACCAAAAAGTTTTCCGGACGACAACATTTTAAATCTTCCCCCCCCCGTCGACAACTTTGACAATTTCCGACAGCCTTGACAATTTTCCGACAATTTCCGGCAGCATTGGCAATTTTACGACGGGTGTCAACAATAGGGGAGGGCCATGCCCCCCACCTGGCCCCCCCGGCCACGGCGCCACTGATGACAATCACTAGACGTATGACGTCATTGACGTACGTCGACGAATGTTTTCACGATTTCATGTTTGTCAACAGAGCCCCCCCCCCGGTAAATTTAGTTCTACAGCACTGCTGCAAAGCCTTGCAAAGTCTCTATTGCACTATTCGTACTATTCGTCGCCTATTCGTGCACTATTCGTACTATTCGTCGACTATTCGCGGACTATTCGCACTATTCGTCGACTATTCGCGGACTATTCGCACTATTCGTCGACTATTCGCGGACTATTCGTACTATTCGTCGACTATTCGCACTATTCGCTTCACTATTCTAGTTTTATCAATTGCCAGATTTTATGCACTATTTAAAACACGAGCAGCAGTGTTTTATCAGATATAAAGATGGTCTGATAAAACACGCACTGCGAATTAATGTTTTAAATTGCTTCAAAAACGATCGATCTAGTATACGTTAATTGGCGAATTAGCTTTCAAAAAATTCGGTGTGTATATGTAGAGAAATTAAAATCATTAAAATTTATGTAAATCACGGGAAATCTCTATCACATATCAAGGATACGACACGTTTTTGGGTTTTTTCTTTGTGTTTTCCTCATGAATTATTAGGGAGTTTTTGAAGCTATTTTAGACAACAGTCAGTCACAACGTGCACAGAGCTTTTATCTTTTAAAAGACTCCTGAACCACGGTTGTTTAACGTATTCTGCCGTATAGCAAATATAACAGTTGAGCATGTTTTGAAATGTTCATATTCTTAAAATCATCATTCAACCTCATAGCTGCAATGCCAAGTGATATAGCCTCAACTATCTGGTCTTGAATTATACTTTAAAGTGAACAAATAACAAGACAACTATATTAAAGAAATATTCAGGATATATTTAAAATGTATAATTGAAAGATCAAACTTTTCCGTATTCCTTAGGAAGAATCGCGATAACCGGCGTCTTCACCACGTAGCAAATTAATAATATACTTTCTCTGTTCTGGTTCAACTGAATTTCGAAGCCTAAATACTTGAAATATAAGAAAGTTTCCTCGAAAGCATTAACAGGCGGCATATTTTTGATACGCGACTATAAACGCGTCAACGCGAACAAAATTATTGTTGACATTTGAGTTACGTAATTACTTCCGTTAACGAGATTAACCAATGGGAAGCTTTTCCGAAGATTCTTCGGAGAAGAACAAATTAATCATAGGCATTTGGGCAGGCGTTTATTTAACGACGCCCTTTCTTCTCCCGCCCGCACTAAACGCCTGCTACGTAGGCTATAGTTTACTTGGAAAGACCCCTTTGGACAAAGAGAGATTTATAACATTAACAAGAAGCTGATATTGACTCTGCATGGACAAAATGGAAAGACCTATTCCTTTCCGCTGTTGACGCTCATATGCCCAAGATCAAAGTGAAAATGTCGTATAAGCCTCCCTACATTACGAAAGATATTATCCATGCCCTCAACATGAAAGAAACGATAAGGAAAAGAGCAAAGTCCACCAACTCCTCTCTGGGATCGCTTTCGCGAGTTACGCCGTAAAATAAAAAGCATGATACGATCAAAGAAGCGTGAATACATTTCCACTTTGGCAAGCTCAGTTAAGAATAAACCGAAAGAATTCTGGAGATTCTTCAAGGCAAAAACTACCGGTTCTTCTCTACCAGACACCTTAACCCACAATGACGATCACTTCACGACCTCAGAAAGGAAAGCTGACGCTTTCAACAAGTACTTTGCATCCACCCAGTGGCGTGCTGGGTACTATTTTTCTGGGGGGGCCAGTGGACTGTCAACCAATATGCGCCCCTATAATATCACACTTAATAAACGAGGGCCGAAGGCACGAGCCGAGCGCCGAAGGTGCGAGGTTTGTCTAGGGGGGTCCGGGGGCATGCCCCCCCGAAAATTTTTGAATTTAGAGTCTCTGAAATGCCATTTCCTGGACTTTGGGGGACGATTTGACAGAAATCTGATGGTCAGGAAACAGCAGTATAACGTGTCGAAATTTGCAATTTGTACTTAAATTATGCAATGCTAACCACTTCCAGCGATTAATCTAATCCCAATTCTATTCTCTACTGATCTAGTGATCTGAATACATTTACAACTTACAGCTCTTTTATACAATAATACATGGACCCCACGCATATGCATTTTAAGGTTTCCTTGCCTGGCTGCCAAAAGGGCGCGTTTCAGCATTATTTCATTACTTACATTACTCATGATGTTTCTTGCCCAAACAACTAAATTGCGTACACAACTTTACATTATCATAACTTCAACTATCTAATTTGCGCCGCTCTCGTGAAGCATAATAAAGTGCGTAATATAAGGGCATAATACCAGCAAAAAAGGGCATAATTCCCGTGATCGCTTCCAAACCTGATCATGACCAATATTTCGGCAATGAGACATTGCGTTTGATCACTGATCATGTTCCGATATAAATGAATTCGTGTGCGCCGTGAAGTAGCAAATTAGCAAATACGGCTTAATAGACAAAATAGTCTGTAATTTAATATATCACTTTGTCGTTTTCTTGGCGGAAGTAACTATATTTTTTCGAATGCGTTTTTTCCCACCCACTTTCAAAATTCGGCGCGGGATCGGCGCCCTCTTTTCATTTCTGCGCCCCCCAAGAATTGCCAGCTGGGGGGGGCCGTGGCCCCCCGGCCCCCCCTGCCAGCACGCCACTGCATCCACCTTTCATCCTTCTACGCCTAGTTCATCTAGTGTTGGTTCTGTGATGAAGACACTCTTAAATCCATTTCGGTTTCAACGGAAGAAACTAGCTATCTACTATCAAATCTCTCTACAGATAAAGCAACCGGTCGCGATGAGATATCTGCCAGATTGTTGAAAGAGTGTTCAAACAGGATTGCTCCCTCCTTAAGAGCGCTGTTCAACAAATCACTCACTCTTGGTAAAGTTCCCTAGGAATGGAAGGAAGCTAATGTAGTCCCTGTTCCCAAGAAATGTGATGTTCACGAGGTCAGTAACTATCGGCCGATTTCCCTGCTGTCACCTGGTGTCCAAACTTCTCGAGCAAGTTGTGCATTTGCACGTGTCGGAATTTTTCGAATCATCACTGAGTAATCTGCAATATGGTTTCCGCAAAAGACGTTCGTGTGTCACCCAACTTCTTGGTGTTTTCCACGACGTTGGTAAAGCCCTAGACTCGGGAAAGGAAGCTGACATAGTTTACTTAGACTTCTCCAAAGCCTTAATTTGATTCCGCTTCTCATCGGAACCTTCTTTTGAAACTTGAACAACATGGTATCCCCGGTTCATTGTTGAACTGGTTCTCCGACTATTTGAGCTAAAGACGTCAGCGATTAGTGGTCGACGGAGTGTCATCCTCGTTTTTCAATGTAACATCAGGGGTGCTACAAGGCAGCGTACTCGGCCCACTTTTGTTCTTGATTTACGCAAACGACCTCCCAAAGCCAGCGAATCATAGCACAGTGCCCATGTTTGCTGATGACAGCAAATGCTATCGTCAAATTACCCAACCTCGAGATCTTCTTCAGGATGACCTAAATTCCCTTCAATGTTCTAAGACGTGAGACTTAAATTTCAATGCGAAGAAGTGTGTTGCCCTCAGATTTTCACGAAAGAAAACCTCCGTTCCACGTCAAGACTACTCCCTAAACCAGCAACTTATAAAGTCTTCCTCCACACAGAGCGATTTGGGTATCCTGGTGAGCGACAATTTAAAATGGTCCCAACACATCATCAATATCATTTCTAAAGCCAACAGAATGCTTGGGTTTCTGCGACGCAATTGTTTCCACCTCACTGACGTGGATGCTCGCCGCCTTCTGTATTTGTCTCTGGTCCGCTCTCACTTGTCGTTCGGTTGCGAAGTCTGGGCTGAGTCCTCAAGGTCCGTCTGCTGATCTGCTTCATCTCGAAAGAATTCAACGTCGAGCAACAAAGTTTATTCTTCAGGACTATGAATTGTCGTACGTTGGTCGCTTGAAAAAACTGAATCTAATCCCCCTTTCATACTGGCATGAAATTAAAGACATCATATTCCTCTACAAATGTAAATACGGGATGTACGAACTTGACATCAATCAGTATATAACCCAACCTCTTCACCACTCCACTCGTTCCAGTTCTGGTGATCTCCGTCCAAACCTGTGCAAAACCTCCCTCTTAACAGGTGGGCAATTTGTCGACGCTGACCAAAAATAGCGGCTCATTTCTTCTTGAGTTGCCATTTTCGCGTCGAAGAGCAAAAATATAGACTTTGGAGAATATTTTAGCTGTTTACTATCAAATATGTTTGTGAAACAGTTGATAATATTACTGAGGAAGGCCAACTGTTTCTGAAAAGCTAAAGTACGTCGAAATCAGCTTTGGAATAGACTATATTCTCACCGGGAAAACATGAACTAAATGGATATTTACATCAACACTAAATTTTGCTCGTGCCTACGGAGCTAGTTGGATTAAAACAGATGTTAAGAAGTAAGTGAAAATGTGAACTTTGTGAATTATACTTTCATTAAAATGTTTCAGAAGGTCTGCTAATGCCAAACGACACGTGTGACAGAGCTGTCAATATACCCATATTTCAATGTTTATGTTGAAATGACCCATCTTCTTTGAGGTATAGCTTAAAAATTAGGGTATGCGCATCACTTGAAACTAGCTTTAAATCAAAGTTTTATCTATAGTCTTTTGATTAGAATTAAAATCATTCATGGGAAAAATGTGCCAAAGGGTTGAAATTGCCCTTGTAAATATACACTATTTTTGACATGTTTTGGTTAGTATTTTGAAAAGGTGTTCTGGAAGGAAAATATGTCTTGAACAATACTGGTTGACCCTTAAATTATAACTAGTGTTATGTAAATCACAGAAAATTGAAAAAAGTCTGGTCCATACACAATAGTTTGGATTCTATGAGGTCCCGAATGCGGCTTATTTCAATGTTTAATCTGTTTACCTGGAAAAACATAGAAAATTAAATAAGTCAAGAATTTGACTATGCTCATCACCCAAAACCAGGTTTTTCTAATTGCTTTTTCACCTGGGTTTGTGGCAATACCAGTTATGCGACCACGAAAAATGCGCGCGGCACTTTTTTTGGACACTGAAGATGACAACATTTGATGTTGTTATATATTGCCATCCTCTTATCATAGTATAACTTAACTTATTTTAGTGAGTTTGTTAAAGAATTGTGCTCACTATATGCCTGTAGTATCTAAGATTTTTTTCATAGCATTAGATGATAAATTTAAGTTCTGTTTTCTTTTATTTTTAGGTGATAGTATCTGTTCACATGTGTGTTGGTATCAATTTTGCACAAGATTAAATTATTATTTCACATTCCTTTATTGAAATATCCAAATAAATGGAATATGACATCAAGCTGGAGGACTAAATCCTGTTTCCAAACTTATTTTTGTAAAAATAGAAAATAACAACTTATTATATGTTGTTCTAATAAAAACTATTGTTTTTGATATGCATATTTAATTTTTGAAGTTACATTTCATTCTTTGTTAAAATGTGTACCAGAAATACTGAAATCTTTCAAATCAGCTAACAATCCTTTGTAACTTATATAGCCAAGTGTTCTATCTATTTCTGTTCAGATTATTACAAATGATGGGTAAAATATTAGATTAGATTTTTGAAAAAAAAATGAGCTTGCCTGTTTTCAAAGCATAAAAAGCAATAAAATAAAGCAAAAGTACTTATTTTCAATTTAAAACCTTTGGAATGCATAGCTAAATGTTTTGCACTAAATATTACAAAGTTTTCGTTCATTAAAATGTTGTTTTATCAGCTTTAAAACCAGATAGACTCACGAAACACTCCTAATATATGTCGCCATATTGATTTTCTTCGCGCATGCTCAGACAAATTGCCCACCTGTTCTCCCTCTTCTGAAACTCATACTTTAACAGAATTGTATTTTTATGGAACAATTTACCGTCTGATCATATCAAATCATCTTCGTCAGTCGCCATACTTATATCTAAACTATATATTCTACACTAGAAAGCTGAACAGTACTTTTGATGTAGACCGTCCTAGAACATGGAAAACTGCATGCAGTAAATGTCGTTCTTTACACACAAACTGCTGTTCATAGATGTAATTATAATCGTTGTATGTCCTAATGTTTATATATATAACATATATTCTTGTAATACCTATTAAACAACTCATTAATGTTCTGTTTGAATACACACGTTTTTAAGACAGAGAATATGAAAACATATATTTGGCGCGAACGCATTGTATGACGTAATTACAAGACTTAAATAACATACATCAGAATAACAAAACAAATATGTAACATCTCCCGTTGGAGATTAAACAATATAAAGTTAATAAAGTTTGAATGAACGTTTATTTGTCGGTTTTCGAACGACTCGACCAGATCTTGTGACGATTTCGTTTGGTGGTTCTGGAGAACTGGGTCGAGTTGTCACTTCTAGATCATCATAATCAAGGTCATTCCGGATCTGGAATCTGTTCTTACACGGGATAAGGTGGCGACGGTTGCGTCTCACAATGTTTCCTTTGTCATTGAGGACACGATAAGACCGTGGCTCGGCACACTTCTCTACGACTTTACCAAGTTGACTCCATTTCTCATCTTCCTTCGCACGGATTAGAACAACAGTTCCTGGTTGGATATCAGGTAGATCTTTAGCGTGTTGATCACATCTTTCTTTTGTCTTCGCTCGGGTGTCTTTGGGAGGAGGGGGGAGGGGGGGAGGAAATGCAGGTTGGATTAGGGAAGGCAATGTGGAACGTGGTTGACGACCGAAGAGGCGCGCAGCTGGTGACTTGTTGTCGTTTCCAGGAGTGGTATTGAGGACTAACAACGCAAGGTAAGGGTCCTTGTTGCCATCATGTGCTTTTTTTCAAACTCTTCTTAACAGTTTGGATTGCTCTTTCCACGAAACCATTGGACTGCGAAAAGTGAGGACTTGAAGTAGTGTGTTTAAAGTCCCATTCTTTGACAAACTGTTTGAAACATGCCGCTGTGTATTCTGGACCATTGTCGGAACAGAGCTCTTTAGGAATGCCATGTCGAGTATAAATCTTCTTAATTTTATTAACCACAGTGGCGCTCGATTTGTCGGTGAGTCGTTCAATTTCAATGTACTTTGAGAAATAGTCCGTAACGATAACGTAGTCATGTCCATAAAGGGAAAACAGGTCTGAGGCAACTTTTGTCCATGGTGCATTCGGAACCGTAGGTTGAATAAGAGTTTCCTTCTGCTGCTTGTTTCTGTAGGTTGGGCAAAGTGAACAGTACGTTAGAAACAAGATCTTCAATTTGTGCGTTTATTCCGGGCCAATAGACGGACATTCGCGCACGATTTTTGCAACTTTCAATGCCAGTGTGGCCCTGGTGTATGATTGCTTTTATGGTGCTGCGCAGTGATGATGGGATGATGATGCGTTGACCTTTGAGGAGTAAGCCGTTGTTGTAAACAATTTCATCACGGATGTTGTAGTATGGCTTGACTGTTTGAGGAATGTCACGTTGTTGTGGCCATCCTTTAAGAGTGTATTCCTTGAGTTGCTGTAATGTAGTGTCAGAGGCTGTCTCTTTCTGAAATTCAGTCAGGTGAGCATCGCTGATGGGAAGGTTGTCGAAAGTGAATTGGATACAGTGAGTCAAATCAGGTTAATCAATTTCAGTTGATTGGTTGTTGAGGTAGGCCCTGCTGAGTGCATCTGAGACGACCATGGTTTTGCCAGGAGAATATTCAATGTCGAAGTCATACTTTTGAAGCTTCATGAAGAAGCGCTGTATTCTTGGTGGACATTGAGTGATGGACTTACTGAAGATTGACTTGAGTGGTTGATGATCATTGAATGCAGTGAAGTGATGACCGTAGAGGTACTCATGAAAGCGTTCCGTTCCAAATACAATCGAGAGAGCTTCTTTTTCGATTTGTGCATAGTTCCTTTCATATGGTAACAATGCTCTAGATGCATAGGCAATGGGGAACCATTGGGGAGAATCGTCTGAACCATGGTTTTGTTCAAGGAGGGCACCAAGACCATCAGCACTTGCGTCAGGTTTAAATCGAGTAGGCAGATTTGGATCATAAAACTTGAGGCATGGAGGTGAAGTGATCAAACGTTTCAGCTCTTGGATGGCGTCCAGTTGTGGTTGCTGGAGGTCAAAATGAACATCTTTCTTGAGCATTTCACGAAGCGGAGTGGTGGTTTGTGAGAGGTTGGGGACAAATTTACTCAGATAATTCACCATACCCAAGAATCGTTGAAGATTCATAAATGACGATCAAATTCAAGTAAAATCTACCAAATTTCGAGGCAAAGCGAGACACAACGTCAACGAAGAACGATCAAACGATTAGAGATATAAAAATTCGATTATAAACAAACTTTAGTAGCGAAAATCTCACTCCTGACACCATGCTCTGTTTGAATACACACGTTTTTAAGACAGAGAATATAAAAAACATGTATTTGGCGCGAACGCATTGTATGACGTAATTACAAGACTTAAATAACATACATCAGAATAACAAAACAAATATGTAACAATTAATAATTCATGAAGAAACTAATAAAAATCATAAGAGTATCGTATCTGTATATGTGATACAGATTCATGGGGGGGGGATTCTTGTTGATTTACATAAACTTTAACTTTGATTTTCTCGGCTTAGACAACGTTTATTTTTAAAATTACTTCGCCAATGAACTCATAAGATGAGTCGTTTTTTAAGTAATTTACAACATTCGCGTCCGTGTTGAATCGGATATACAAACTCTCGCCTTCGGCTCGAGTTTGTACATCCGATACAACACGGCCGCTCATGTTGTAAATAGTACTAAGTAATTGTGTAATGTAAGTTTTTGGTGGGACTTAAGTAGAGACTCACGTTCTGTTGTCATTACCATCAGTCATTTGATTGTAAAGTTAATAAAAAAAAGAAGAAAAAAAAGAGGTTCTACTATTAGGTCAATAGATTTTTTGATTACATACATGGAAGATTATCATAACCAGGAGCTTTAGCTGTCTTAAAAGAATTACAGATTTCTAAAAGCTCATTTGCATTTGTTGGATGAAGTGAAATAGATTCTTCGCTATTTGAATTTAGGAAAGAAAGAAAAGAATTTACTGAATTTGAAGTCTCAGGAATCTTACTTGCAAGATCAGGGCCAATGTTAGCAAAATATTTGCAAAACCTGTTAGCAATGTCTTTAAGATCAGAGAGAAGGGTATTATTTGATATAAACGAGGAAGGCAGTGAGGTTTTTGTTCTATGTTTATTAATTACTTCGTTTATTAGCTTCCAAGTTGTTTTGTGATCGTTTTTGGCAGTTTCAAATTTGTTCTCATAATATGTTTTCTTAGCAATCTTAATCAAATGAGTAAGCTTGTTTTTGTATTTCTTGTATTGTCTTTCTTTGTCAGGACTTCGTGAAATAATGATTTTTTTATAGAGTTTATTCTTTTTCCTAACACAGGTTAATAGCCCTCTTGTCATCCAAGGTGTTAATGATTTGTTCGAGTTTTTTGTTCTGACTTATTTAGAAGGAAAGCTAAGATGATATAATCTAGAAAATTCATACTGAAAAGCATCGCACTGTCTGCATCTTGATTAGGGAGATTTTCCCAATTGACATTAGTAAGATGTCAACGAAATTTGGTAATATTGCTATCGCCAAAGTCCCTAAGAATGGTCTTTTCAGCATTTTTACATGGGGGAGGAGTTTCAGTAAAGATATAAACAAAGACCGGTAAATGATCTGACAGGTCAATAATAATTCCACTGAATAAATTTTGTGTGAAATGGTTGGTAAAAATATTGTCAATAAGCGTTGCCGAATGTGTTGTGATGCGCGTCGGCATACTTATTAAAGGCAAGTACATATGGGAAAACAGATTGTCAACAAATTCATTAGTTGCGGAATGCTCGTTTAGGCAGTACATATCTATGTTATAATCTCCCATTATGTAACAGTGCAATTTTTCCGTTTCTGATTTGGTAAAAACCGTGTCACGTGCCGGGCCAGAAAACGTCATGTTCGGCAACCGGTCCGCAATGGAACATTTATTGACCGGTCAATAATAAAATGGGTGCAATACGCATGCGTGTCAACCATGAAGTTCCAAAGTTCATTCCAATAACCGGTGAATTATTCATACTTTGACACTTATATACTATATAACAGAACACTTATTTACTGAGACCTCGGGAAAGCAGTGTGTTTTGTGGCCCCTCGACCGCCGTTGTTGTCACGGCGGTCTCGGGTCCGCAAAACACACTGTTTCCCTCGGTCTCAGTAAATAAGTGATAATTGTTGTAATAAAAGAATTTCATTAAACTTATCCAAAAATAAAGATAAATTTTGGTTTGGTGATCGATAAACTATACCAACTACAATGTTCTTGTTATTTGGTACGAATATTTCAACAAACGACTCAATCATATTTGGATCTGAAAAGTTACACTCCGAGCATATTCGATATTCAAGATCATTCCGCAAGTACAAACCAACCCCACCGCCGGACCTCGCAGTTTTATATGACAAGACAAAAAGTTATATCCAGGAGTTTATCGGCAAAAAGAAGTTAATTTTAATTCGTGTTGAATTTTACATTATAATAAAGGCCATAGAAAGTAAAATAACATACCTAAATGTAAAACATTCATTTATTTTTGCCGTTTTGTACAAAAAATTAAGAAAACAATTAATATCGTGTTGCCATGGCTAACATGAGTACATGACGCGAGCAACGCGAGCCTACGTTCCGATGTTCCATTGTTTGGAAACTGTGCATGGCGAAGCTAGGGTTGTTGCATGCATGTATTTCTATCAATTGTCACGAAGACAGGTCAAATTCAATAGTAGAAAATTACCTTATGTGTACTATCAGAACAGAATGTCGGTAACTATGTGTGACGTTTCTAAGGGCGTGGGGGGGGGGGGGTGCACGTGTCTCCAGAGAAACGTACATGCGGACAAAATCGATATGTGAGGCTTCCCTAGTTGATTCTCGGGAGATTTTTTTGAGGACTGATTCTCCATGGCTTTTTTTCGAGTAACTAATTCTCTGGACCACTTCTTTTTTATTCAACTATTTTCGATATGTTTTATTTTAATAACTGATTCTCGATAGGTTATTTTTGGACCAGGAACTGGGCCCCAATTGCTGTTAATCTTGTTGTTGTTGTTGTTGTTGTTGTTAGGGGGCGACGCTCTTGGAAAAACCCTATACTTATCATTAATCCCCGAGCCGATGGCGCGAAGCGCCGTGCGAGGGTACTAATTCTCCCCGGCTATTTACACCCGGGGAAACGAAAGCATTAGCGAAGTCTAAAGTTCATCAATGATCGCGGGCGTGGGTCACCAACGGTGTTGGAGTGTTGGGTGGGTGGTCATCCTCACTGATCTCAAAAATATGGCGGACTGTCATGAATAGCGGACACTGATTGGTCCAATTTAAAGTTTGCATTATAACGACTGCATGACGCCGGATAGCGAAATAGCAAACATTTCTTGATTTGATGATTGATAAATTTCTTGCAAATATATTTCATTTTTGCTCGCATTTTTGCAAGATTTTGTAAATTTCAAAAGCTCCCTCAGAAAGAAACTGCGAAAGAATCGGCTAAAAGAAGTTAACGAAGGTAAGTTTGCTTTAAATATTGATTTTATAATTGCTTTAAAACCCGACGGCCTTTGCGTATATGAAACAACTAAATTACAAGACAGCATATAATTTCAATGTATCTTTAATATTGATTCTCTTTTTTATTATATTGAATTTTTTAAATAGTAAAAGAAAGCAAAGTTATTTGCATGCGAGAATTTGAAATCATTTTATTGCAAACTCAAAGTTTATCGATAAAGCCATTTAATTAAAGGCAGTTTAGTTTTATCATGAATAAAAAATACAAATAGTTTTACAAAGAACACTTTAAAACGTTTTGTGAAGCGTTTGTGGTTGAATTTTACCTTCAATTGAAGCTTATATTACGTATAATAACATACTTAACATATATATGTTGGGAAATTGATAATTTTGTAATTAAAAGTGATATTTTTAGGCGATTTTTCATTTGTAAGAATATTCTTAAAAAATTATCGTGTTACCATGACAACTACTTTAGATACTTCATGTTCGGAAAATACAATGGTTTTGTTCGCAAGACGAGCGTTTCTGCATGCATGTATTTTCTCGTATTCAGCAAATATATCAACAAACGCAAACGATCGATAAGAAAGACATTGTCGCGTCTTCTCTATTGTTGTGAACACAATCACAATAATCTAAGGGCCTGTTTATGTTTATATGGAGGCGAGTTACCCGGCAAGATGAGTTAAGGCTACTCACTGAGTAGTTTCCACTCACGAAAATTATCCGTGGATTGGAACGGACAAGACAATTTTTCTTTGTGTTAAAGTCATTAGTTCCAACTCAAAGCTCACAAGACAAAGAAAAACTTTCTTGTCCGTTCCAATCCACGGATAATTTTCCTGAGTGGAAGCTAGTCTTTACTCGCCCAGACGGGACAAATAAGCCGCGTGATTGCCGCATGACAAATGACGTGCCGCGTGATTGCCGCACGAAAAGGATTTAAAATCGTTTGAAACGCGGTTAAAAAACATTCCAAAATGTTGTGAAAATACAAGAATAAGCGCCGAGAATTTCTGGAAAACTTATCAAATGATTCGTATGTATTTTTGAGACATTATATTTCAAATACAAAGCGCCAAAATTCAGGCTATCTCAGGCGGCCGAGTTACCCGAGCAAAGTGTTTACATGGTAAAATATTCATCTCGCCTAGGCGATATCCCGCCTCTCTGTGCCAGGAACTCGCCAAGGCGAGTTACTCGGCTGCATCATGTAAACAGTCACCGAGGATTAATGTAAGTTTCTATAATAGCCAGGATCTCGCCGTTGCCGAGTAACTCGCCTCGCCGGGTAACTCGCCTCCATATAAACAGGCCCTAAAGCTTCTCAAGAATGTGAACGACTAATTATAATTCGATTAACTAGAAATGCATGCATGCATTTTGATATGTTATTGTTGTTGTTATTGTTATTGTTCAGCACTGTTCACCTGAACAATGCTGAACAATATTGTTAACAACCAGGAACAATATGGGCAGCAAAATATTGCTTAGGCTTGTTTTCAACAACATTGTTACAGGCTAGGCGTTTTTTCCTGTGTATAATAATATCTGTTTATTAAATTAATATATTGTTTTGCAGTAAAAACTGAACTATACAATTGTTCCTATGTTATGAACTAATTTGCATATTAACATTTTAACATATATAAATATATAAACATATCGTATATAAATTATATTTACATAATTACAATATATAGAGGACTAAACTTGGACAATTACATATATTTAATGGTAATAAAATTATCGAAACGTTCATTGAAGGTTCTCACAGTTCCACTACTATTTGGTCTACGTAAAAAATAATCATGTTCGCCAAATGATCGGGAGGGTCTGATTATATTATAGACTGGATTGTTCTTACAGGCTATCATCCGGGTTGAGTTGATAAATCTCCTACATAACTCATCTCTTCGACATTCCAAGGTTTTGATTTTTGAGGTCTGCAATGCTTCATAATAAGATATGTCAGGGAATATAATCTTAAGTGCTCTCTTTTGGGCCGATTCAAGATGAGAGGATAGGTAGTTTCAAGTATTTATTGGTATATTGTTACGATTAATACAGGTTCTTTCGATAATATAAAACGTGGAATAACAACAACATGGCGACCATGAAAAAGGCGCGAAACAGTCAATACTTCATGTTATCAATGTATAATGTTTGTCTACTTATTTACGACATCCTCCGGGGGCACGCGATGTTCTCGGGTCCATCTCCTGATTTGTTCAACTGCTTTACACGCGGCTGTCCGTTTCGGTCGTGGAGTAATTTCGGTTGCTACATTTTCTTGTTGGACACAATCCTTGTCTACGAGGCCTGGTTCTTCTGTTTTAGCTGCTACTTCTAGAGGATAAAGTTTCGTTATGGGTCTATTAGTCTTTCCGGATGCTGTTCGAATGTTAGCAGCTCGTACATGTCCATCCCGTCCTCGAATTAAACTTTTGACCACTGCTAATCTCCATGTTAGTCGAGATTTATCATCATGGACTTGTATAACGTCTCCTACTTTGATAGTTTCCTTTTCTGTACCAGTATTCTACTATTCTTATGGAATTCTCGCAAGGATGTGAGATACTCTTGTCTCCAACGTTGCTCAAAGTGTTGTAGGAGTAGTACTAGTCTCTTGGCGTTTCTTTGGATTCCACATATTCGTTGAAGTTCGGATCAATCAACTCATCTTCCTCTAGGGACTCATTTGGTAGGGCTGTTATTCTTCTGCCATATAAGAGGTGTGATGGTGTAAGTGGTTGTTAGTCCGTTACGTCTGACGACACGTATGTCAATGGTCTGTCGTTTAAAATGACTTCGATTTCCACCACGAGTGTTTGTAGCATTACTAAGTTCACTGACGCTCTTCCAAGTACTTTCTTTAAAGCTGTTTTCGTCAGTCCTATCAATCTCTCCCAAAAGCCGCCGAACCACGGTGCTCTCTTTGGAATGAATTGCCATTGTACATTCTGTCTAATGAGTGTCTCTTTCAGTATGGGTGATTCAAACAATTTCTTCAGTTCTTCCGCTGCCGACAACTATGTAGAAGCATTGTCTGACATCATTAATTTGGGTAGTGATTTCCGAGCAACAAATCTACGGAATGCAAGGATAAACGTTGGTACAGACATGTCCGACACAATTTCGAGATGTACAGCTCTTATGGTGGCGCACGTAAAGAGACAAATGTATGCTTTATTTTCTGTTCCCGATTCTTTTACGTACAATGCTCCAGTGAAATCAACACCTGTGATTTCAAATGGTCGTGTTTGTTGAAGTCTTGCTTTCGGTAATGGTGGTGGATCTGGAGGATTATACGAGCTTCCGCATATCTTTCTGCAGGTGACACATTTATTGATGATCTTCTTCACGAGTTGTCGTCCGGAAGAATTCCAATATCGTTGACGTAGCGCTGTTAGTGTCGCGTTCACACCCGATTGTTATTGGCGAACATGAGTTTCGACGATTATGAGCTTCGTGAAGTCGTTTCTCGGCGGTAGAAGTATTGGGAATTTCGTTGATTCTGACAGGGGCGCGTTGTGTATTCTCCCACCAGAGCGAAGAAGGCCGAACTTGTCCTTGAATAAACGAAGTTGGCGTAATAAAGGTAATCGTTGTGCCTTTTTTGCTGCAATATTATTGATTTCGTTACGGTATGTCAATTGTTGTGCGTTCTGGATCAACTGACGAGTTGCTTCATCCCTTTCGCTTGGGGTAAGAGGACCGATTTCCTTGACTTGATTGTTTTTGCAGTTTTTCACAAACCGTAAAACGTATGCTGCGACGTTCACTAGTCGTGAGAGATTACTAAATTTAGTGACGGTACCGTTAATAGATGATGGAATCCGGGTTGTTTGTACGGATCTTCAGGTGCTGTCGATACATTTTCTTCGTTTGTGGAATCCTCAGTTTGGGTTAGTAAAAGGTGAGTTGAGGGTGTCCAAGATGGCCACGTCTCTGGAGTTGCTAGCAACCAAGTTGGTCCAGTTCGCCAGATTTCTGATGCATTGAGTTGGTTGGTGGTGATGCCTCGTGTTAGCAAATCTGCGGGGTTATCTTCTGTGGAGCAGTATTTCCAATTTTCGATAGATGTAAGAGTTTTGATTTCTGCAATCCGGCTGGCAACGTAAGGTTTAAGTCGTTTGGTACTGTGAAGCCAGTGGAGGACGATTTGGCTATCACTCCACAAGAAAACGTTCGTAACTTGTAGTACTTTTGCCAAGTACGAGCATAACCGTGCTCCTATCGAAGCTGCCGTTAGTTCTAATTGGGGGTAACGTCAACTTTTTCAATGGCGCGACTCTCGACTTTGCCATAACAAAGGAGGAATGATTGGCTTTGGAAGATTTAACATATGCTGTGGCACCGTAAGCTTTCAAGCTCGCATCTACGAATATGTGTAACTCTGTATCCTCTGGCAACCCATTTGTTGATGGAAAGTATTGACGAGGTAATTGTACATGGGTGCTTGCTTGTAATTCTTTAGTTAGTTTCTCCCAACTCGCTTGTATTTCCGGTGGTAAGAGTCCATCCCATTGCAACCCTCTCTTCCATATCTCTTGTATCAGAATTTTCGCATTAACGACTACGGGGTTAAGGAACCCAATGGGGTCATATATCTTTGATGAAGTACGTAATACTTCACGTTTCGTTGGGGGATTGGATTCGGATGTAGTCACTCAGATTGTCATTTAAGAGGTTTTCTTTCGCTGCGATCGTCTTGACAACAGGGTTGTTCGATGCCCAGATCTCAAGTTGAATCCTCCAGGTGTCATCAGTGTTCGTGCTTTGGTATAAAATAAAACGGCTTCGTCATCATCTTGGGCTCCGGACACAAGGTCGTCAGCATAAATATCTTCACGAATACGTTTCGCTACTGGATCATTGAATTGTTTTAAGTGTTTATCAAGGGTAGCATTTAGAATAAATGGTGAACTCGTCGCCCCAAATAACACACGTTTAAATCGGTAAACATCATAGGCACTAGTTGGATCGCTCGGGTCGTTCAACCAGAAGAAGCGGGTAGCATCACGATCTTCTTCATCCAGGACAATATTTAAAAATGCCTTTTCGATATCTGCTGTTAATCCGTACTTCGGCTGACGGAATCTGAGCAATATTGCTGTTAAATCGTTGAGGATTGGGGGTCCAGTTGTTAAACAATCATTTAAACTTGCGTGATCTGAAGATTTACGGCAACTACAATCATAAACGACTCGTAATGGTGTGGTAGATGACTCTTTAAATATAATAATAATTTATTAATTTGTACCGCGCTAAAACTATAGAATATGCTAAAGCGCTTAATTACATAAAATAGGAAGCTAATTTAAAAATTTCCCTACGTTATTTACACAACATTTAACTACTATAGATAGATAGATAGATAGATAGATTTTATTTTGACACGCTAACTACGTCAATTAAAAACATTGATTCCCACGAAGGGCGTGTGTTCAAAAGTTATTATATATAAGTGTTGTTATGACTCTTACGGAATCAAATAAAAGAAAATAGAAATATCTAACTGTTCCAATTGACAAAATTGACAATATAGACAACTAACAAAACATATAGATAACTATTTACAATAAAGGATATATATATATGTATGTATAAATATATTATTTAGTAACATGAGCAGCAATTTTTCTTTCAAATAGAGACTGGGACCTAATTCCTCTGATTTCTTTAGGCACTGAGTTCCATATTTTTGCCCCATTAAACATAAAACTCTTTTTCGTGCTATTTGTGCGGGGCTGTGGCAAAACGAGTGTTGTTTCATTGTCACGGAGACAGTAATGTGTATTCTCATTCTTGTAGGTAAAAAGGTCTGTTAGGCTTTTAGGCCCAGACATATTCAAAATTTTGAACATTAATTTTGCCTTAGCTTTAGTTCTTTGTACTTTTAGTGTCTCCCATCCTAACGAATTTAATGCGATTTGGGCATTAACTTCGTTACCCATGTCCATAATAATTCGAGCGCATCTATTTTGAAGCTTTTGTAATCGTTGTGATTGAGTTTCACCAAAAATGTCCCACACTTCACAACAATAAGTAAAGTATGGTTGTACAATTGCGTTAAATATAGAAACAAGTGTATCACGGTCAACAAATTCTTTTAGTTTTCTAATAACAGAAATGGCTGATGTGATTTTCTTACAGATACTCTCAGTGTTACTTTTCCAAGAGAGATGCTGATCAACTATTACTCTTAGTGTCTTGCATTCCTTCACTTGTTTAATTGGTCTGTTTTCAATCATTATGTTTAAATTTGAATCTGAAACAGTATGCACTAGAGATCTTGATCCTATGAGCATAAATTCAGTTTTGGCCATGTTTAATTAGACTCAGTTTGTTCGCGTTTAACCATATTCTGAGGTTTTCCAAATCAGAGTTCACTGCATTTTCAACATCATCAATTGTACCACCGGAAGCAGTGAGGTTTGTGTCATCTGCAAAAAGTCTTGGCTTTATCCTATTTAGGCTTTCAGAAAAATCATTCATATTAGGAAAAATAAAGGACCTAAAATGGAGCCTTGAGGAACACCACACTTAACTTTGTGTTCAGACGAGACAACACCATTTACTTGGCATTTTTGGGTGCGATCAGTAAGATATGATCTCAACAACAAATGTGCCTTATCCTTAATACCGTAAATTTGCATTTTCTCAAGTAGAATTTCGTGATCTACGGTGTCAAATGCTTTTTTTAGATCTATAAAAACTACTAAGTTAAACATTTTTCGATCCATGTTAACATACCAACTATTTGTTGAATCTAAAAGGGACGTGGCGGTGGAGTGAAACTTTCGAAAGCCAAATTGGTTATCAGAGAGAATTTCGTTTTTAGTTTTATACTATAAGCATCTATTTAAAAATATTTAAAATAATATACAAAAATGTCTTAAGATTTGTCTTAAAAGAATCCAACGAAGGTGAAAGCCGAATCTCATACGGTAGTAAGTTCCATAGAGTAGGTCCTGCTTTCAAAAAGGCACGATCACCAATAGACTTTCTACTTGTGCTTGGAACATGAAGAAGCCCTAGTTCGTCCGATCTCAAAGAGTAGTTATTACTTTGTTTATAAGTCAACATTGTTTGTCACAAATATATTTGGGAGCCAATCCATGCAGAGCTTTATAAACCAACAGTACGATCTTGAATATAACACGATATTTAACCGGTAACCAATGCAGTCTCATTAATGTAGGTGTAATGTGATCAAACTTAGGTACAAGACATACAACACGAGCAGCAGCGTTTAGCACTTTCTGCAATCGATTTTATTGATATTTTGGAATTCCATACAGCAAAGAATTGCAATAATCCAAATGGGATGTAAATTTTGGTAGCATCGTCAGTTAAGTATTTCCTGATTTGTTTGATATGGTAAAGCCTTCGAAAGGCCTTGCTGCAGATTTTGCTAATATGCAAATTCATGGACATGTAAGTATCTAACCAAGACCCAAGGTCACGAACAGCGCCTACTGGAGAAATCAATACTTCTCCTACCCTCAATTTGTCAATCGATACCTTGGATAATTGCTGACGAGAGTCAATAATAATAAACTCTGTCTTGCTACTTTGAATAAAAAGACGATGTGCAGTCATCCAGTTTCGAAGCTCATCAATACAACCTTCCATTGCTTTAACAGCTGACTCCTGATGCAATGAGTTCTGAGGTTTAAAAGAAAGATACAATTGTGTGTCATCTGCATAAGTATGATGACAAGGCAGATGTTTAGAAATAATCTCAGAAAGGCCAGATGAGGAATATAGTGACATGTTCGAGTGTTCATGTTTTGGTTTTCCACTTTCTCGATGAAATCTTGTCTTTCTTGATTAATGATCACGTCGTTGTACAGTTTTAACTTCTCTGGATCATTCGCCATTCGTCGTACCATTGATCTCGTTCTTTTCGCAGCGATTTCAGCATTGGGTGGTAGGATTGGTTGATTGGGTTTCCACGGTAATTTGGCATGGTATTTTCCGTCTTTCAGGGAAATAGATGTGTCTTGGTATTGTTGCAAGAAATCAATCTCATTCCCAGAGTATGCCTATTCGCGGGTATCTGATGTATCGTCCTTTTCACGTGGTTGAATTCCAATTGACTCTAGCTCCCAAAAACGTCGGAATTCAAATTCATCATCCTTGCTTGCTGTCATGATGTTTAAAATGGTGGTGTTTAACGCAGATGTTTGGTTGGTCAGTGGAATGGGTCTTGACAGGAGATAACCAATCTTTGACTTTGCTGCTGTTGGACCAGAACCCTTGATTATTTAATCTTCAACGACATTCCAATAATGATCTGCTCCAATCAATAAATCAATGTCAAAGGTATGCTCATTCGTTAATGGGTGTGCAAATGTCAGTCCTCTAAGGTGGGGCAAATTATGCAAATCAATGGTGGTAAAACTTTGTAAAGGGGCAGCAATTGTGGGAACAATGATAAGTTCAATGGGAATGTTTTCTCCTACAGGAGTCTGCAAGTTGATGGTACCTACTTATACTCTTCTTACTGATGTGGTTGTCCCACCAAATGTGGAGAAGGAAAGGGTTTACTCGCGTTCAGCTGTTAGACCCGCATTCCTGGCTAAGCTACTGGTGATAAATGAACGATGAGACCCTTCGTCAAACAAAATGTGGGCAGTAACTGTTGACCCAATGTACTCAATTGGAGAGATGGCTGTCTTCAACAATGTTGACTTGTGTTTGTTTTCACTTAGATGTTGAATTGTTGTGGGTGAAATGGTTGTGGGTGTTGTTGCTGCGGATGAAATGGATGTGGGTGTTGCCATGGTTTCGGTTGGAGCAGTATTAATTGTATTTACTGATTGGTTTGGAACCTTTGGTGTGGGGTCCTGTTTATCTTGGTTGGGAGGTGGGGGATTTTCTGCTGAACATAAACTTGTGTGATGTTTGCGATGACAAATTTTGCACCGACCCCTTCCCTTGTCTTGCACTGGGACACTATGTGATTATCATTAAGACAATTGAAACATAGTTTGAAATCTCGCACTATGTTGTGTCTGTGTTTCTTGTCAGTTATGACAGTACAATTATTTAGACTATGCAAACCTTTGCAGTAAACACATGCTCGCTTTGCTGTGGTTGATGGTACATGACGGGGCTTGTATGTTGAGTTTTTTGATTGTCCAATGGCAAATGCTGCTGTAGGTGGGTCTGGACAAAATTCATTTGGGTGTTGCTTAGAGGGGTTATTTTCGCCTACTTCTAATATCTCGATTTCTCTGCGTATTGCCTTTCGGAGCTCATCTAGTTTCCATTCATTAGTGTTGTGTTCTCTCGTAAGTGTTTTTATCAAGTCTGCTGGCAATTTCTTATGGATTATAGGAATCAAAATGTCCCCATATGAATCGTGTGATTTTCCTAACGCTTCGAGTGCACGGATATGTGTTTCCAATGTGTTGTAGAAACTCTTTAGACTAGACAAGGTACTTGTCGGGCTTGGTATGTTTAATAATGCTTGCATGTGTGCACTCACTGCTCTGTGTTGTTGACCAAATCTCTCATGTAACAGTTTGATACTCTCTAGATAGTTATTTTCGGTTAAAGGAAACCCAGCGATTGACCTTGATGCTTCCCCAATTAACTGGGCTCTTAAATAGTTCAGTTTCTGTATGTTGCTTAGATACGGGTTATCATGTACTGCTGTGCGGAAGGAATCCCAGTCCCAGAACGTTTGCCAATTCAAGGGGTTGCCGTCAAAGGTTGGTAGTGCTAACTTTGAGAGTCGACTCATGCTGTAACTACTGTTCGAAATGGTGGGGTTTGTACTTGTAACTGATGTACTTATAGTGGGTGGGTTTAAATTGACAGGTAAATTTTCACCTACTGTGCTTGATTGTGGTTGTGTCTCTTGTGGTGTTGATGGTTGATTTCCTGCTGGTTCGCTCTCACTGCTTGTTGTCTGGATGTTTTCTGGCGTTTGTTGAATATTGTTACTTGCTCCTGCTGCTTGGTCGTGCTGACTTATGTTCATGGACTTGGTTTTGTTCTCAATAAAATTTTTAGTTGTACAAATTGTCTCTGCGATAAAACTCTGTGTGTCTTCTGCCTCGATAATATCTGCTTCCAAATCTTCAGGTTTTGTGAATAGTTCAAATATCTTATTGTCTAGTTCTGATAGTACCTGTCCTTTCCGTTGGAGTTGTTCTAAATAACTGCCAAGTGTCACAATAGCATGCTTTTAATTTTGATCGTCTTCTACTTCTTTTAGTTCCGTAATTTTCTTCAAAATTTTCGTTAAATGTGCTCTGTGTGCTCTCCGTGATGCTATTAGACGTTGTTGTTCTTCCATCCTGGTCACGGAACCATAATTTCAAGTATTTATTGGTATATTGTTACGATTAATACAGGTTCTTTCGATATTAAATATAAAACGTGGAATAACAACAACATGGCGACCATGAAAAAGGCGCGAAACAGTCAATACTTCATGTTATCAATGTATAATGTTTGTCTACTTATTTACGACAGGTAGTCAGGAAGAGCTGCCCATATTGGAGATGCATATTCAAGTATGGAGCGAATAACTGAGCAGTAGATGGTTATAAGATCAGTGTGACCCAGGCCTGCTTTCTTCAATAAACGGAGGGCAAACAGTCGGGAGTTAGCTTTCTTCAAGATATGGTCAACGTGGGTATTCCAGGTAAGATCGTCTGATAGATAGACACCCAAGAGCTTAAAGCTGTGTACTCTTTCAACGCATTGTCTATTAATGAACATGGATTGATCACATGGGGTTCGGTAATGAAGGAAATTTATAATCATTTCTTTGCATTTTTGGGGTTGAGCTCCATTCCACTAGCGGATGAGAATTTGGAGATTTCTTGAACAACTAAAGGCAATAGACTAGGAGAGCACCTTGGGTCTACTTCCAGTACTGTTGTATCATCGACAAATTTTAGGCGACCATTCCAGTCCTTTAATAATGGGTTAACCAAGATAGCAAATAGAAGAGGACCCAGATATGTTCCCTGGGGTAAACCTCCATTGGCAGTTTTCCACGAGGATTCATGGCAATCCACTTTGACACATTGTTGACGGTTGGTCAAGAACGCTTTAATCCAGCGGGTAAGGACAGGGTGGACATTAAGATTTCCAAGTTCGTTTATAATAACACTATCGTCCACTAAATCAAAGCCCTTCCTGAAATCGGCGAAAAACAATCTGATAGAGTTCAACCTCGTTCCCAGGGCTTCAGTGTGAGGACGAGGCGAGACACGAGGAAGCCCTGGTCCGGGCCGGTCACGTGACGTCAAAAAATGGCAGTATTTGACAGCTACTCGTCAAGGAGTGGCGAGATATTCTTTAATGAAATATACCGGCAAGTCTTCGAAACAAATAAATAGCCAAAAGACTTCTCAATCGATATTATTTATGTGTAGAGCGAAGTTTGGCACGAATCAGCTAAAATCTGTGAAGATCCCGTCTATGTTTTCTAAGATATACCGATATTTCTGGAGATTTTCAACTACAGGCAAAGCTCTGCATCCAAGCTGCATCTAGGCGTCTCCATGCAAGTGGTGATTCACACGAAATTTCCTATCTCTCGTCTTGAACAATATGGCTATTGCTATAATTAATATTTAGTTTAAATATGCTCTTATAGATCTGACTTAGTTCTATAAAGACAAATGAATACATCTTGTCGGGGAATAAGTGATAAAACCTCGCGTAACCTGTTTACGCTGTACAGGAATATACGGTTCGCTTGTCTCGCCGGACACCAACACTTGCCGTTCAGGAGCAATGCTTGCCTACAAATTTTATCCCCTTCACAATCTTTGTTTTATTTTATCGTATAGTCGCAATTTTCAAGTATTCGGGGTATTCTGAAACTGAAAAACTGGGTGGCGTGCGAATCTTGTAGAGACTACATCGGCCTAGGCGTAGAGCTATTAAGTAAACAGGGCCTAAACTAATTTAGTAGTTTCATTTAATTGTTTGTCTTGCTTTTATTTGTCAGTACAGAATATTATCAATTAAAATATTACTACAATGCAATACGCGTTGCATTTCATCAGACATCTGCACTAATAAATACTGTACAAGGAAAACTACAGCTTAAATAATAGTAGACGTTTTTTGTTTTGTCAGGAAACATCATAGCTCACTTCGACACGGCTTTCGAGTTTTGTGACCGGTAGAGGCGAAAGTAAATAATGCAGTCGGGAAAACGTCTTACATTGAAAGATTATTTTGGAAAACATACTCGTACACACAAGAATCGTATAAAAATACAAATGTTGAATTGTTATTATCAACTGTCAAGTTCAGTTATTTTTATACAATATGGTGTTAGCCAATCAGAATGCAAAATTGACCGGCCCGCGCTGACCAGGGCTTCCTCGTGTCTCGCCTCGTCCTCACACTGAAGCCCTGGGAACGAGGTTGGATAGAGTTATGACCACTGTCTAAGGCAGCAAAAATTTGATGGAGAAGGTACACCAGGGCATGGGTAGTTGATTTGTTTGGAAGTGCGAATTGCTTAGGGTCAAGTTGATCTATTACTTGAGGCATCAACCAGTTAATTGTGAATCTTTCCATAATTTTGGAAATTTGCGAGGTCAAGGAGATCGGTCGCAAATCGTTCTCAACAGATGTGGGAAGAAGTACTTTAGGAATGGGCCGGACAATAGATACAGTAGCTTTAGCTGGGAGAGGAGCACGCCTTGTAAGAGGGATGAGTTGTAAACATCAGCAATTACAGGAGCAAGTTCGAAGGCAAACATTTTAAGGACTTTGTTGGGGATTAAGTCAGGGCCAGGAGATTTGTTAGTTTTGATCTTACGTAAGGCTTGATAAACCTGACCTGTATACGTGTCCACCAGGAAGGAGGCAGGGACATCTGATTGCGGCACTGTACTGTCGGGCTCAAGTGGGCTGAAGTGGGAAGTTAAACTAGTAAAAAAACGTGTTTATGGATTCAACAAGGTGTTGACAGGTAGGGTTGTCGGGGGACAACAGTTGGTGGTGCCATGAGTCCCGAGTGGATAGACCTATTATAGACTTAACTTCTTTCCACCATTTCGATGAATTGCCTTGTTTTAATTTAATTTACAGACTGATGTAGCGCAGTATTTGGCTCGAGCAGACTTTACGTCATCAAACAAATTTTCCAGACATCACAAATTTTCTCCATTTATCAAAAAAAAATTTCGAAAATTTCTAGAATATACGAAATTTTGGTAAATATACCTCATTTTTTCTACGGCCCTGCAACCGACTGACGAACAGGGCCGCCGAGAGGTTGACGGGAGCCCGGGCGAGAAAACTTTTTCGGAGACCAACAACCTCTATCTTGCCCTTTGCGCGAAAATATTTAACCCAAATAGCAGTCCTACCGACTGAATAGCAGTCCTGCCGACTGAATAAAATTTCTGGGGGTGTCATACCCCCACACCCCCCGTATCTCCGGCCCTGAATATTGTTGACAACTGTGAGCAAAGTGGACAGCAAGACTGTTCAATTCTGTTTTCATCAATATTGCATCAACCATTGCGTTTTTACGCGTGTATGTAATATATATATCCTCAGGCCGGCATGTAGTAAAACACTGACTACCGGAACACCGGAACACCGGAACACCGCCATTTTGTTTGGGGTTAGGGTTAGGGTTGGGGGTTAGGGTTGGGGTTAGGATTAGGTGGTGTTCCGGTGGTGTTCCGGTGTTCCGGTAGTCAGTGTTTTACTACATGCCCCTCAGGCCAAGGTTGGCAAGAAAATACAAATTTAAAACTGTATACAAGTTGCATGCCCATATATGGGCATGCAACTTTCATATAGCTCTAAATTTCGAGTTTGGTAATGGTCGAGTGTCGAGGGTCATAGGTCGAGGGTCGAGGTTCGGAAGTCGAGGTCGAGGGTCAAAAAGTCGAGATCGAGGGTCAAAAGTCGTGGTCGAGGGTCAAAAGTCGAGGGTCGAAAGTCGAAAATACTAAATTTTTATCCATTTTAAAAGTTTTACAACCATTAAACGCGGCAAAACAATTAGTTTTGCTGTCAAAACTGAAACATTTCGCCTATAGCTATGCCGTATGGCTATGTACTGTAAAACTGAAAGTTTCGTTTGTGGAACTAAAAGTCTGATGCGCGAGGTTTGATGTTTGAAAGCATACATTTTACATTCGAGTTTAGAATATACAAACACGGACGATTATACAAAAATGGCGTTTCACTCTCATGAGAAACGGCAATTGATAAAACTAGAATAGTGAAGCGAATAGTGTGAATAGTGCGAATAGTCGACGAATAGTACGAATAGTCCGCGAATAGTCGACGAATAGTGCGAATAGTGCGAATAGTCCGCGAATAGTCGACGAATAGTACGAATAGTCCGCGAATAGTCGACGAATAGTACGAATAGTCCACGAATAGGCGACGAATAGTACGAATAGTCCACGAATAGGCGACGAATAGTACGAATAGTGCAATAGAGACTTTGCAAGGCTTTGCAGCAGTGCTATAGAACTAAATTTACCGGGGGGGGGCTCTGTTGACAAACATGAAATCGTGAAAACATTCGTCGACGTATGTCAATGACGTCATACGTCTAGTGATTGTCATCAGTGGCGCCGTGGCAGGGGAGGGGGGCAGGGGGGGGCATGGCCCTCCCCTATTGTTGACACCCGTCGTAAAATTGCCAATGCTGCCGGAAATTGTCGGAAAATTGTCAAGGCTGTCGGAAATTGTCAAAGTTGTCGACG